AGGAGGTCTAATTCAGTAATTACCAGCTTCCAACCCAAAGTCGGGCACTACAGGCTGGAGAATGAAGTGGTACCCGAGAAATAAAACCTTCCACAGCACAGGCAAGAGCCACCCACTCTTCTTCACTTACTGTCCCCTGTGTCAGAAGGGATTGAGGTCACAGCTGGACCTCCAGGGTGCAGATGCCTACATTCCCCATCAGGATTGCAGGACTACCTGGCCCTTCTCTGAAGCCGGGGAGGCAAGGTCTGCTGGCCTGGAAGTGAGGGCAACCTCCAAAGGCAACCACGGCATCAGTGACAGCGGCTTCTCCCCTGGCTTCCTGGGCTGAGCCACACTGTCCTGATGCCACCAGGTCACCACATTCGGGTACTTGGGGAGACAGAGAACCCTCTGTAAGGAATGGTCATTTGCTGCCAAGCATTCACAAATACTATAGCATTTTTACCCAGGAGTAGGATGGAAAAAAAAAAAAAGCTGCTAAAACATACCATGTACCCAAATTCAATAGATGAAATCTTGGCCTGTACAATGGACCAAAGTCCCCAGAGGAAATGAGATGCAAGGGCAAACCTGGAATGACAAAAGCAAGAAACACATATGAGACATACAGTATCAGTTACAGGACTGATGAAATGATTTCATGCCAGATGGACATTTTAACTTGTGTGGATGCAAACCTAGTTAGTGTTGGCAAATCATGGGTCTATATTCCATGGGACTAACTAAGAAAAATGGGAATACCACTCCCACACCCTTCCTTTATCTGCTAGTGACAGGTGCACTGGTGAGTGTGAACACACACAGCTGGTCTGGCCATGGCACATGTCAATGCCACTTGGCCATAATATATTCACAGGGTGAATATATTCACATTCACAGGGTGCAGGTGAAGGCCTGGGTGGCTATGCTGGCAGAAAAGAAAGCAAGCCTGCTACAAGGGAGGGTGCACAGCATCAGCAACCAAGAGGCAGCCCTTTGCTGGAGGCGGGATGAAGCTCTCACTCCTTGAGCAAGAGACTTCTAAATCCCATCCTTGTCCCATCCCCTCCTGTCACACAGAAGTGAAAAGAGCAGATGAGAGAGTGTGAGCCACGTCACCATCTCTAGGCCGTACCAAGCCCCCAAGTCACTGCGAATCCAAGTTCCTCCTCAAACGATACCCTGAGGGTTCATCTACATGAAGATAAAGCTCAAATTTAGGAGTGCCTGCTCTAGTATCCTCCAACCCTACTCTCTGTTCATCCTGTGGTCCTCAGCCCACTAGAGTCCCTTGTGCTACCCTTTCTGTCTGGGTTCTCCTTCATCTACCTTTTTCTATTTCCACCAGTTCAAGAAACAGAAAGAGATAACGTACACTGTGGTGGGGTGCGGCAGGTAGGCAGATGTGACATCACACTTAGTGTGGGGGGTGAGCACTCTGGAGGCCATGAGGAGATGACTGTGGTAAGTGCAGTGGAAAGATGAGGTGGGCCACAGTGACTTCAACAGCAATTTTACCAAATAATGTCACAGGAGACCCCAAAAAATAGGAACAACCCACAGGCCTCTTGACTAAAGAGATGGACAAATAGTGGTCTAGACCTTTGCAGAATCTGGAAGTTTCAGGACCCTGCTTTGAAAACTTGAAAAAACAGTAAAAAGCAAGACTTAAAACTGATAAACATGAGTTTAGTCATTTTCTAGGAGAAACTGAAGAGTCAAACACAGCAAACGGTGCCCACCACTCCACAAGCATCAGTGACAAGTTTGCACGGCCAGGTGCAGTGGCCCACGTCTGTAATCCTAGCACTTTGGGAGGCCGAGGCAGGAGAACCACTTGAGCCCAGGAGTTCATGACCAGCCTGGGCAACAGAGCAAGACCCCGTCTCTAAAAAAAAAATACAAAAATTAGGCAGGCATGGTGGCACGTGCCTGTAGTCCCAGTTACTTGGGAGGCTGAGGCAAGAGGCTCGCTAAGAGTTAGAGGCTGCAGTGAGCCATGATCGCATTGCTGCACTCCAATCTGGGTGACAGAGCAACATCCCATCTCAAAAAAGAAGAAAAAAAATTCTGTAGGCCCTGGGTGGCAGCAACCCTGTATGGCTGGGTTGTTGTGTCTGGATGACAGTTCAGAATGTCACAAAGTGTCCCGACCCTTCTTGGACACGGGACCTCTTCTTGTGATACGGTTTGTCTCTGTCTCCCCACCCAAATCTCATCTTTAATTGTAATCCCCATGTGTGGAGGGAGGGACTGGTAGGAGGTAACTGGATCATGGGGGTGGTTTCCCCCATGCTGTCCTCCCAATAGTGAGGGGGTTCTCATGAGATCTGATGGTTTTAAAAGTGTTTGGTAGTTCAACCTTCTTCTCTGTCTCTCTGCCCCTCTCTCTCCTGGCGCCATGTAAGAAGTGCCTTGCTTCCCCTTTACCTTCTGCTATGATTGTAAGTTTCCTGAGGCCTTCCTGGCCATGCAGAACTGTGAGTTAATTAAACCTCCTTTCTTTATAAATTACCCAGTCTCAGGTAGTATCTTTGTAGCCATGTGAGAACAGACTAATATACTCTGCCTGCTGTATGCTCAGATCTGAAAGTTCTGCATAGTCTCAGCCACAATGGAGAAGTAGCAAATTCTATTTTTGACAAAGGGCAAGTCCTAAAGATGTACGATTAAAAAGAAGCTCCTAGGTCGGGCACGGTGGCTCACACCTGTAATCCCAGCATGGGAGGCTGAGGTGGGTGGATCACCAGAGGTCAGGAGTCCAAGACCAGCCTGGCCAACATGGCAAAAACCCCATCTCTACTAAAAAATACAAAAATTAGCTGGACATGGTGGCAGGCCCCTGTACTCCCAGCTACTTGGGAGGCTGAGACAGGAGAACTGCTTGAACCTGGGAGGCCGAGGTTGCAGTGAGCCAAAATTGCGCCACTGCACTCCAGCCTACGTGACAGAGCAAGACTCTGTCTCAAAAACAAAAACAAAAACAAAAACAAAAAAAGAACCTCTAAAATACTCATAATTGCAAGTAAGCATCCCAAATATAGTCTATAAAGAGGAACGCTATCTTTACAAATCAAAAAAGGAAAAACGTTACCTATTGACTTCAAGCAACATTTCTTCTTCTATAATGGATTTTTCTTCAGTACTGAGGTTTTCAAAGTCATTTTGGAATGCAGGCAAGTAACTGGAAATAAAATGGAGCTTAAAAAAAAGTAATTGTGTTAGGATCAATGATGGTTAAAACAGACTGTCAATAGCTGTCACGAAGCATATGCATCTACTGTGACATACTGGGAGACACACACTCGACATGATGTTCAGCATCTCTGACATCCTGGGCTGGCACCAGCAAGCCAACCTTTGCTAGGTTTTCAGCTGCTCTCTCTCCCCAGGATTTCTAGTGGAGATACAGTGTCTAGACTCTTCAGCATACTTTTTCCATTTAGAGTAGCACTTAGAACTGGAGACCATTATTTTGGAGGCAGGCTTGGTGCACCCTCCCAGTCCTACTCAACTTCAGCACCGCTACCAAGGCTTCAGTGCTGGGCTGAGGAATGGGAGAGAAAGATCCCAGGAGGAAACTCCCATGAGAACTGATTCTCCACACAATTACCAGCCTCCTCCCATCATTCAGGACAGGAAAGGGAACTGTTAACACCAAAGACATTTCCTTCCATTACTAAACCCTGGTGCCCGAAAGATTACTTCTCTCTCCACAGTGTGAAATGAATAGAAAAAGGTCAGTGATCGCCAAAAAGATGGCCAGAAAGCGGAATCAAGGCTGGGTTTTTCAGAAAACACTAGAAGGAACTACAAAGGATGCTAAAGCTCTTCTCTGAATGTAAGTATCTCTGACACAGAGATTTTTAATAAACTGGACTAAAAGGTCAAGTTTGTGTCTACATTTAACAGAAACAAAATAACATTTTTTAACATAAACCAAACTTTAAAAGGTTAACTTTAAAAATGAAGATGTAGGCCAGGGGTGGTAGCTCACAACTGTAATCCCAGCAGTTTGGGAGGCTGAGGCAGGAAAATCACTTGAGCCCAGGAGTTTGAGACCAGCCTGGGCAACTGGTGAAACTCCATCTCTACAAAAAATACAATTAGCTGAGCATGGTGGCATGCGCCTGTGGTCCCACCTACTTGGGAGGCTGAGGCGAGAGGATCACCTGAGCGCAGGAGGTCAAAGGTACAGGGAGCCATGATCGCACTACTGCGATCTGTACTCCAGTCTGGGAAACAGAGTGAGACCCTGTCTCAAAAAATAAAAAAGAAGATGTAATTCTAACTGCATGAAATTGATGTAATTTTCCTATCAAGTATACAAAAACTCATCTCCTACCTGTTGTTTCTTGGTGGGATACTTCCGGATGTTTGCTCTGAAAAAAGGGTACTTTTCATAGCTATAATCATACATCCACTCACAGAAGTGATTTCCAATGTCGAATCCCCTGAAATAAGAGATAAGACAGTGCACAGAATGAGGCAAACCGTATGCCTGGAGGCTCCCTGACTGCAGAAGAAAGAAAGGCTGAGTTCCGAGCATGCCACTCCTGTTGCCATCTGGACTTGCTGAGGGAGCAGGACTGTAACTGCTTTAATGACAGAGACAGCCAACAGATGGTTGTCAGCATCACAGCTGACTAAAGTTATACAGGCGCACCTGAACCACAACTCCAGAACAATGTGTCTCCTCAACCAGGATTTATGAGAAGAAAATAATCTCTGAAGCCAAAAGAAAATGCCAAAGTCTGGCTGAATGGCATGGCTGTCCCCAACTAGCACTGTCTGCTAGGAACAAGGAGGGCCGTGCCACTTCACCACAACCATCACGGGCCACTGGACAAGAAGCCACTGATTCCAGGTGAAGCAGCTTGCAACTCAGGGTGGTGTTTTGACTTATTTTCTCTAATAACTGTTAATTAAGCATATCATAATGATAAAACAATATTGAGATGGAAACACTGGACTGTAACATATTACCTGTAATTGTAACTGCTGTATTCGAAGTCAATGAGCATCAGTTTCTGTTTTTCAGAATTCTCTTGGCCTTCCAGCAACAAGATATTACCTGCAAAAGGTTTTGGATAACAAGGCTTATGTTTTACAATAGAAGGTTCAAGTCCTTGAACAGCAGAGCCGAGAGAATGGATCTGATCCCTTAGGGAATCCTAGCTGAATGTGGCTTTTGGTCTGTGGACATCACCAGGGCCTAGACAGAGCGTAGAAGTGCTCACGGGAGGCCTACCCCTGTGCATAGAGGCTCCTGACCCACCTGGCCATAACAACCCCTGCTCATAGCCCTAGTCCCCACCGGACCCCCAGGCTCACTATGGAACAAAGCCTGGTCTCTTGCTCTGCTGTCAGAAGAGTACTTCCCAAATGTTCTGTATGGTGGCATGCAGGAGCTCAGGCTAGCCAAACACCACCCTCAGCAGCCCTGGGACTTGGTTTGCTGTCTCCAGCTGGCTGCAGCACCCCAGCTGGGAAGCTGCGGGAGTGCCCTCCAGTAAGAAAGGCAAGGAAGAGCTCAGCTGCCACACGGGATGCCCTGCTTTGTTCTTGCCTGGTTTTCCTTCCCAACGAGACCACAGGCAGCATTCCTACACCACTATTTCCTTTACTGTTGGATTCTGGGCCAGGAGTTGGTCAGCCATCAGCCTGGCTCTGCAGGCCTACATTCCTGATATCCCCACACTAGACATGACGTTCAGCATCTCCGACATCCTGGGGCTGGCATCAGTGAGCCAACCTTTGCTAGGTTTTCAGCTGCTCTCTCTCCCCAGGATTTCTAGTGGAGGTATAGTGTCTAGGTTCTTCAGCATACTTTTTCCATTTAGGGTAGCAATTACAACATAAACTGGAGACCAGAAAACGTGATTGGCTCACACTTGTAATCACAGCACTTTGGGAGGTGGAGGTGGGAGGATCACTAGAGTCCAGGAGTTTAAGACCAGCCTGGGAAACTGGTGAAACTCCATCTCTACAAAAAATACAAGGCGTAGTAGTGTGTGCCTGTGATCCCAACTATTCGGGAGGCTAAGGTAGAAGGATCACTTAATTCCAAGAGGCTAAGGCTACGTGGAGCCTTGATTGCGCTACTGCACACTAGGCTGGGTGACACAGTAAAAAAAAAAAAAAAAAAAAAAAAAAGGCAAATTGGAGGCAAACACCCAAAGTAGCAGAACAAAATTAACGTACAACTGTTACCTCTTCGATCCCTCCTACACTTTGCCATCATCAACGCAGCTGATCTCCTCCAGTCCCCTCTCTCTAGTGATGTCTGTGCCATTTATCACCCCCTCACCACCAGAAGGGCAAGGATAATACACAAAGCTGTAGCTGTAATGTCTATACTCTCCTTGACTTGAGTTAGCCAGCTACAAGCAGCTAATTAGTAAAAGGTAATTTGGCTCAAATGAATGGCTTATGGATGACAGGTCTTCATGAGAGACCGTTTTCAGGATTAAAAGCAAACTGCTGAGCCTGGCAAAGAAGGGCTCAAGGTGTGACCTGAACTACTGTGACTGGGGGAGGCAAGGTCAAGGCAGAGCAAGGCCATGTCAGCAGCACCAGTGGGAGCTGCATAGTGGGGGGCCTCTGATGAGACTATTCAATGTGCAATTGCGTGGGATGAAATTTTGTTACAGTAAGGAACATATCACTGTCATGTTTTCAAAGCAGAGAAGCCCGAAGTAATTAATAGCACAGTGCACTGATACTAAGAGAGAAGGTGTTAGGATTACACGTGTTGCAATAAGCAACACTACGCTATGTGATGCAGAAGAGAAGGGCCCAGGACTGAATGGGGTAGGCAGTGGATCTTGTTCTTTTATTGCTTTTTCAGGTTAAAAAAAAATCATATATGTTTACTATAAGGAGTTAAACACTGAAAAAGTAACATGTGACTTAGAAAGTTTAAGTTCTGTATCCCAATTCCCAAGTTTAGTGAATATTCTTTCGGATTTCTTCCATGTAATACATATATATATACACACACACACACACACACACACACACACACACATATATATATATATTTTTTTTTTTACAGGATCTTGCTCTGTCATCCAGGCTACAGTGCAGTGGTGCATAGTACACTATAGCCTTGAAATCCCAGGCTCAAGCCATCCTCCGGCCTCAGCTTACCAAGTAGCTGGGACTACAGGTGCACACCACTATGCCTGGCTAATTTTTAAATTTTTTGTAGAGATAGGGTCTTGCTATGCTGCCTAGGCTGGTCTAGAACTCTTGGGCTCAAGCAATCCTCCCACCTTGGCCTCCCAAAGTGCTGGGATTACAGACATGAGACACTGTGCCTGGCCTCATATGCTAAAAAAGTAATACAAAAGCTCACTGTCTGGTTCTATCATAATTTAATATACCTAATATACTCTTGATGCTACCTGGCATTTTTTAGACACACTGCCAGTAATTTTCTAAGTATACACACAAACCTCATCTGTAACAGAACATAGCAATTCTTACCTTCTTGACAGTCATTATGACAAAATACAACTGGAGATGGAGTAGATTCAAGCAATGATCTGAAAAGAAAGGTTTCACTGTTACCTATCAAGCTTCTCAGTCAGCTGCACACCGTCTTGCCTTCTCCACATGGCCAGCACCAAATTCGTGCTCCAAAGCAACACACAGTTTGGGAGTAGTATCTGTGATGTGAATTCTGACAACTGTGTCAGAATTCCACAACAGCTCCACAGCAACAACTCCACAGCAGCTCCCGCCTGAAACCCCTACAGGCCCTCTGCACTCAGCTCTTCCCCTGGAGGATCCTCTGCATGTGCCACTCCCTCCTGGAGCCCCTTTCTCTGCTGGTCTCAGCTTGTACAGCACCCCCTTAGACGGCCCTTCTCTTACCAGTGACCCAAGCAGGTCCTCCTATGCAGACTAACGGCCTACTTTGGTCTATGCTTCTGTCACAGCACTTACCACAATTTGACATTATTTTATTTGTTTACTTGTTTTCCCTCGGCAGCGATCATCAAGCCTAGCAGAGGAGGCACATACCTGAGTAAGTAAAGGTGTAAATACTTATGGCTGGGTGTGGTGGCTCACACCTGTAATCCCAGCACTTTGGGAGGCTGAGGTGGGCAGATCACGAGGTCAAGAGATCAAGACCACTCTGACCAACATGGTGAAACCCTGTCTCCACTAAAAATACAAAAATTAGCTGGGTGTGGTGGCGTGTACCTGTAGTCCCAGCTACTTGGGAGGCTGAGGCAAGAGAATCACTTGAACTCGGGAGGGGGAGGTTGCAGTGAGCCGAGATCGCACCACTGCACTCCAGCCTGGCAACAAAGCGAGACTCCGTCTTATTAAACAAACAAACAAAAAATGGTGTAAATACTTGTTAGTGTACAGATGTGAGTGGCCTGCATGCAGCATCACTCTGAGGACAAGGATGGCCTTGCTTCAGAGATCAGCAGGAAGATTCTGTTTCTCACAAAAGCCAAGGTTGAACTGTAAGGAAGAGGGATTTTTCTCACACTCCCCAGCCTGCCCTTACTCCCTTCTCCCCACCAGAGAAAATCCACCCCGCTAGACACTCTACTGCCCTGGCCATCAAGCCACTCCTTCGACATTTTCCTTCTCTACGGAACTTTCACAAACTGACTAGAGGCCACATGTGGGCCTCTAGTCCATAGAGTCTATAATCTCTAGTCCTCTAGCGAACCATAATTCCAGATGACAAAACTTATCTGTTTAAATTCATCCTGTAAAATCAATGTAAAATGCCAGACATAAGGCAAGCTCAATCAATGTTTACTGACAACAGTTTTAGTGACTAAGAATATTTAAAGTCAGGAAATAGAAGGAAAACTCACCTCAGGTTTTCCAGTTCCAATGGCAGATTGTAACTGAGCAATTTGTGGAGCTTTTTAATTCTGGATTCCTCAGTAAATTTAATTCTCAGAACTTCATTTAGATATCTATTAAATTTTTTTTAAAAAAAAGAACAGAACAAAGAATCACTGTCAATTCACCAAGGCTTGTTGTTCTTGGGGCTTTGGTTAAACATTCAATCCCAGCGCAGTCCCAATGCCAGCGGGACCCCTCTGGCTGCCATGACTGAGAGAGAGGAGCGGCCTTGGGGGTTCGTGGCATTCTAGGAAGGTGACTTTCTGCCCCTTCACCCGTTCAATAGCATTTTTGTATAAGCCTTCTTTCTTGGTTTAGGAATTGACTTTTATATGTAAGAAAGACTTACTTATGAGACAAGTATCACCAGCTGACACTCTGCACTTCAGTGAACTAGGAAGACCTAGTTGCTCACTCTGGTACTTCTAGGAGCCACCACTGTAAAACTACATTAGGACCAAGTGATTTCACCACTTACTTTTCCATTGTGCCAAAAAGCCATTTTGGTTCCTTATTGAATGGCATTTTCATACCATGAAACGTAGCCATTTTCTCAGCGATTTCTGCAGAAATATCTGGCAAACTTAATTCTTCAGTATCTAACCGCCGGCTCTGAAATAGAAAAGGGAGTTAAAAACTGACCTTTACCAAGTAAACTAAAAAGAGTGAGATCACACTGTCTTAGGAATGAGAAGCCAGTTTTTGTAGTGCATTTAAGTCTCACCCAATGCCCCAAATTCCCTTAAGAATGGACACTGTGTCCCCACAGACAGTGACCCAGCAATTGCTATGGCACTTCGACAGTGAGGAGCCAGCCACCTCCAAGTATCTATTTCATTCTGAATCCCTTTTAACTATGAGAACTCCTTCCTTAAATTTTATTGAACTGAAACTACGCTATCATCTATTCTTCTGGTCTCTAAAACCATAGCAAATGTCTATTCTCTACCCAATGCTGAAGTCCATGTCTTCAGCAGTTTATCACACAGCTCTGCTCCCAGCTCCTCCATCAGCTGGGACATTCTACTCTGATGTGTTGCAGGTGAGATGCGGGGTCCAGAACAGGTCCTAACCAGGAGATGTGTCACAGGGACGGGGGGCCGTCTCCAGCTGCTCCCAGTGGTGGTGTCAGCACCTGGCCTGGCACAGAGAAGGTGTCCAAGGCAAAGTTGGGCAAAAAAACCAGTGTCTAGAGGACTTCCTCCTGGCCTCTGCATCCTGCACTTCCCCTAAATCAGCCTGAGGCCATGCTTGTTTGGCTGCCCTTTTACAGGAGGCCCATGGGAGCTCACAATCAACTGAAACCTCTAGAGCTTCCTCGTGTGACCTACCACCCTGCAGAAATCTAAAGAGAAGTTTCTGTGAAAATGCAAAGAAGTACAGCACAGAGGTAAGAGTGAATGCTCCCAACTTAGGGAAACCCCAGTTGAAATCGTGGCTTTAATTCTCATTTCAAAGCTACATGGTCATCCAAGTTACCTCATTGTGTTCCCATTTCTATCAAATGGTAATCAGGACATGAAGTCTCTCACAGAGTTGCCAGGAGAGCTGGAGGAGAGAATGCAGGTGAGGTCTCTGGGACAGCACCCAGCCCAGGGTGCAGCTCAGCAAGTGGCAGAAGTCTGCTACTGAGAGCTAAGAGCTCACTGTAAGCATTGGGCTCAACCTTCTATTCAACTCCCTCCAGAAAGCACTGTCACTCCAGCACTGTCAACAAATTACCATGCTGCGATAAGAACAGGGACTCCACTTCCAGCAGCAGGACACACAGGACTTATTAAGGTAGCTCACTCAGCTTTCAAAACTGCCATTAATTTGGCAATAAGGAAAATCTAAAGCTAACACGCTCAGATATGAACAAATCTCAGTATTCCAAATTCCTTCCCCAGCACAGAGAGAAACAGACTACCTACCATCCCTAGTGGCCCCGCTATTCTCACATGCCCTTTGAAAGATGGCTACAGGAATCATGAAACTAAATCACCTGATCCCAAGCAGTGGAGAGTAAACCTAAGCCAGGCGTGGTGGCTCATGCCTGTAATCCCAGCACTTTGGGAGGCCAAGGCGGGAGGATTGCTTGAGCCCAGGAATTTGAGACCAGCCTGAGCAACACAGGGAGACCCCATCTCTACAAAAAAATAAACAAAATTAGTCAAACATGGTGGCACATGCCTGTAGTCCCAGCTACTCGGGAGGCTGAGGTGAGAGGATTGCTTGAGCCTGGGAGGTTGAGGCTGCAGTGAGCTGAGATCAAGCTGCTTATACTTCACTATACTGGGCAACAGAGTGAGACCCTATCTTTAAAAAAAAAAAAAAGCAAATCTAGAAATAACATATGGTATTAGGTTGAATCAAATGAAACTGCCATTCTTGTTGGTCAAAAACAGTTAAACACCAGCAGCATCATATGGTTCAAACCTAGTATATAATAGAATTTTAAAAGGCCGGGCACTGTGGCTCAAGCCTGTAATCCCAGCACTTTGGGAGGCCGAGACGGGTGGATCACGAGGTCAGGAGATCGAGATCATCCTGGCCAACACGGTGAAACCCCGTCTCTACTAAAAAATACAAAAAACTAGCCGGGTGAGGTGGTGGGCGCCTGCAGTCCCAGCTACTCGGGAGGCTGAGGCAGGAGAATGGTGTAAACCCGGGAGGCGGAGCTTGCAGTGAGCCGAGATCCGGCCACTGCACTCCAGCCTGGGCGACAGAGCGAGACTCCGTCTCAAAAATAAATAAATAAATAAATAAATAAATAAAAGTTTCACTATGGCTGGGTGCAGTGGTTCACACCTGTAATCCTGGTGACTTAGGAGGCTGAGGCAGGAAAAGAGCTTGAAGCCAGGAATTCAAGACCAGCCTGGGTAACATAGCAAGACCCATCTCTACAAAAAATTTTTTTTAATAAGTTGGGTGTGCTGGTGTGCACCTGTACTCCCAGCTACCTGAAAGGCTAAGGCAGAAAGATCACTTGAGTCCAGGAGTTCAAGGCTGTAGTGAGCTATGATCATGCCATTGCACTCCAGCCTGGGCAAGACAGTGAGACTCCCATCTCAAAAAAAAAAATTAAATATGTAATAAACAATATATACAAGAGCATAGATAGAACTTAAGAACTAGAACAAAATCGATTCCACAGATACTATAATCTATGTGTCCTCATGCCTGCCCTTTTTGTCCCCAAGATACTTTTATTATTCTGAATTGTGTTAACACAATTCCCTTACCTTGTCCAAAAAGAACTTTTATTACATGTGCATATATTCTTAAAACAATTTTTAAAATGTATCAGGCTTTATAGAATGGTATGATACTACTCACAGTCTCCTGCAGTTTGGTTTTATCATTCGACATTGTATTTGTAAGATTCACCTATATTGCCACTTATAACCATATGAGGTTTTATTATTTCCAAAATTCTTTCAAAAACTTATTATCTCGGCCAGGTGCAGTGGCTCACGCCTGTAACTCCAGCACTTTGGGAGGCCAAGGTGGGCGGATCACCTGAGGTCGGGAGTTCAAGACCAGCCTGGCCAACATGGAGAAACCCTGTCTCTACTAAAACATAGCCAGGTGCCAGGGAGGAAACTAAAGGTAAAAGCTGGTGCAATGAAGGCACCATCCACTCATCTAAACACATCCTCAGCACTGGCAGCTAGCACAACGCTAGCACAGATGGACAGCACCACTGTCAACTAAAAGAGGCTATCTCTTCTGGGGAGACAGAGCACAACTAGCCTCCCTGTTTCTGGGCTGTGGGATTAGACAAAGAAACCCCTGCCCCTGGTCCCCAGCCAGACACAGCAGAGCACCCCTCTGCCAGGCATCCTACTGCTAGGCTCCATCTGCACAGATGTACAGGACAGCCCTGGACATGCCCAGGCCTCTCATGGATAAGACATCTCATGCAGCAGGGCAGGAAAAGCTAGCGGCTTATGACTCTAGTCCTCAAGGAGCTTATGCTCAATTAAAATGGGGAATATCTGGTCTATCTAGGAAGGGAGTGCAGGCTGACAAAGACCAGCATTGCCAACCAAAGAAGTACTGCCAGGGCTCAGAGCCATACTTCAACACTTAGGGTTCATGAGAACCCCTGGGCATGAAGAATTGTGCAGGGCATGGAGTCTGGGGTGGGTGGGTAGAGGGACAGAAACTATGCTTTAGATATGTACATGTAACTCTAAGACATGGTATACTGGTAAATGTTATAGCAACACTAAAACTGCCTTGGGACAATAAGAAAGGGAAAATAATCCTGACTGCTTAGAAATAAGACTGCAAAGTCTTGGAGCAAGGCCTTGAAATCTAAGAATTTGACCAGCATATGGGGACAGGAAGATGGGAGGTAGGGAGACTCAGTGGGAATGCACAAAACAAACCAAGGAAGGGTGATGGGAAAGAACAGTCATGGCCCCCTCACAGGGCTACAGCCAGAGACTGAGCAGGGTAGTCAAGGCCAACGTGTTCTAGCAGCAAGTTCTATAAAGCAGGGCCCCAGAAGTTGAGAGGAACAAGGTGAAAAAGGGCAAAGTCTCACGGTACACAGCCTCAGGGGACAATGAAATGGTAAGTTTCATATATTTTTCAAATTTGGATGAATATACCTTTACAGGAAAGAAAGAGGTTCTGATATGAGTACAAAATAAATGTTGCTTTCCATGATTTCTGATACAGTTTAAGGACATAGGTGAGGTTAACAGTTCAAGAACCAGCACTGCAGGTTCTTGCAGCAATGAGACAAAGAAGCCATCTTCTGTCTGTGGCTTATGTCAACTGAGCCTTTATGAACAAATCTTACCGGGATGAACTGTTCCAGTCGGCCTTGGGGAAAGATGCCATAGAGTTTTGGCCCAAGTGACCTCTCTGCGAGAATGGCAAACATAACGCTCTCCAGAACCATGGCCTCGGCCCCCTAAAACAGATGGCAACAAGTCAGGTGTTTACTGAGTGTCTGCTGTGCGCCAGGCATCAGAGGCACTCTCACAGGAGTGTTTCATCTAGTGCCCACGAGTATTCTTTCATGTGGACACTACTGTTATCACCATCCCCGTTTTAAATATGAAGAAATAGAGGTTCCAAAGTCACACATCTTGTCATTTGCAGGATTCATGCTTGCAAGCACTACGCTATATTGATAAGATTTAAAATGTGAGTTTAAGTTAGGTCACTAGTTCCAAAAATAGAAAAATATCCATCAGTGCTTTTATTGCTTCTATTTATTTCGCAACCTATATAGGAGTCTCACTCTTGGCATCTCACCAAAGGCCACAACACCATCCATTCTGGTTAGGGTTGATTTGCTTTTGGTTGAGTGCACCTAGTTAAAGCAAAGGATCCAAAGGACCTTCTGCCTACTAAATTGGGCTCATGGGTCCAACAAGCTTGAAAATTACTGATTCAGGTCCAGGGTCTATGGCTTTCTAGTCCGAAGAGCAGCCGAGCATGGAGCACCCCAGATTTCAACTGGCATACCTGACCTTTTCCTGTTACTGAATGTTTGTCTTGCTGAAATCTCTATGATGCTGTCTGTTCTATCTTTGTCCTAATAATTAATGTGGGATCTATCATCATTTTGCCTTCAAAATCCATGCTTTGATCTCAAAGCAAATTCAGTCCTTGGTCTTTCCCCCTTAAACAGCACACTACAGCATAAGGGTTTCTATCTGTTGGAGCAAGAGTCATTCTTACCCAGAGGTCCACCTGAATCTCTTAAAGAGCTTTTACAGGCTAGGTGGTGGCTCACGCCTGTAATCCCAACACTTTGGGAGGCTGAGGTGGGAGGATCACTTGAGGCCAGGAGTTAAGAGACCAACCTGGGCAACACAGTGAGATGCCCCATCACCACCAAAGTCTCTTTAAAAAAAAAAAGAAGAAGTTTTGCAAAGAGATTCCTAGGTCCTACCCCAAGTATTAAAAGAGAGGCACCAGCAGAGCTGTTTTGAAAAACGTTTCAGATGATTCTAATTCACCCCCTGTGAAGAAATGTGCTGTAGAGGAACATGATCCCAGAGAAACATTCTCTAAACACATTCACGTTACCAAAAACTGAGAAACCAAGAGGACAAACTTATTAGGAAATGATACAGTACTAGAGTTAGTAAGAAGAAAACAAAAAAGAAAAGCCACTTCCAAAGGATATCAGACCACATTAAAGCAAAAAGTATTTTGGTCACTTTTATATTTTGTGGGAGCAAATGGATTTGTCAGTAATCCTCCACAATTATCATCTACAACTATCATTTGTATAATCCTCACAATTATGACCTGTCATCTTGTGAGGCTCAATCTTTCCTAATTTGTGGTTTTGTGTATATGACAATAAACTGACAACATCAATCTATCAAGCTAATGAATTTTAGGGTGGGATTTGATATCAGACAGGTTTTATTTCTTTTTTTTTTTCTTTTTTTTTTTTTGAGACGGAGTCTCGCTCTGTCACCCAGGCTGGAGTGCAGTGGCCAGATCTCAGCTCACTGCAAGCTCCACCTCCCGGATTTATGCCATTCTCCTGCCTCAGCCTCCCGAGTAGCTGGGACTACAGGCGCCCGCCACCTCGCCCGGCTATTTTTTTGTATTTTTTTTAGTAGAGACGGGGTTTCACCGTGTAGCCAGGATGGTCTCGATCTCCTGACCTCGTGATCTGCCCGTCTCGGCCTCCCAAAGTGCTGGGATTACAGGCTTGAGCCACCGCGCCAGGCCGGTTTTATTTCTTAAAACCTTAGAGAACGACAACAAAGATCTAGTATCCTTGTTTAGTTGTCAAAAGGTTTCCAAGCACTTTTCAGTCCTATGGTAGAGTTGTCCAGAGGTGCAGTCCCCATCTTACCCCAAGCCCAACATCACAGAAACTTTCTGGGGCATTTAAGCAAGGTCTGCAAAGCCTCCTCTAAGTCTCTGCTTAGACATTGTGTTCCCTGCTCCCCAGGGGGCAGCATGGTCCTGGTGCTCTGGAGACTGTGGTCCCCACCCCCACCCTCATGCTGTGTAAAACACGAAAGTAACCAGGGGCTGGGCATAGCAGGACAAGGGGGTGCTGGACTCAGAAGTTCAGCACTTTGCACATCACGTCCACTGGGAAGGATTCTTGGAGGTGACTTTATTTACGTGTGGCATTGTCAACACATGTCACCAGCACTAGCCAGAATCCTCTCCAGAGCTGAGTCAACCCAGAAAGGACATAGAGAAGAGGGAAAGAAATGTAAGAACTTTCCAATTCTCTTTAGCACTGTCCTAAACATTGTAAACAAAAACACCCTTATTCTTACGTAATACTGCAGCTCAATATTTATTCACAGTGGGAGAAAGGGGGAGATGGTGCATGGAGAGAAGGATTTAGAGAGGAAGAAAATGAAGCTGGGCACCATGGCTCACGCCTGTAATCCCAGCACTTCGGGAGGCCAAGGCAGACAGATCACCTGAGGTCAGAAGTTTGAGATCAGCCTGGCCAACATGGTGAAACCCTATCTCTACCAAAAAAAGTACAAAAATTAGCTGGGCATGGTGGCGGAC